AAATAATTTTATAACAACTTGTTATAAAAATAATTTTCAATATGAAGCTATTTTTTCTTTTTCAGATGTATTAAATTAAAATGATAAATTATTATTTTGATAAACTTTTAAATTTTAATTAATATCTAAATCCAAACCCCCCATGGCTTCCAGTATTGCTTGGAAATTTTTTAAGAAAGATAAAAACAAGAAGTTTTCCAAGTGCAATTTATGCCAGTCTTTTATTTCAAGAGATGGAAAAAATGCTAAAACTTTCGCCACCAAAAACATGATAAATCATCTGGGAAAATGTCATCATGAAAATTTTTTAAAATAAACTTAAAAGATGAAAAGAGAAAGTTCTGAAATGAAAGAAGCTGAATGTTCATCAGTAACAACGGAAACTCATATCCAAAGACAAGCTATTATCATGTTTTACACATACACTGCAGCTGACACTACTTTAACTCAATTAATAGAGAAGAAAAAATTGTGGAATATCAACGATACAAAGAAGTTTATTATTTGATTGGATAAATGATAAGTGTAGATATACAGAATACTTTGTTGTATCAGATTTAGGATTTCAAAGATTACTAAAAAGTTCGTTTCTAATTACAATATTCCCAGCAGAAAATATATACTGTATCTGAAAATAACATCCGTGATATATTTCAAAAAGTTCAGTCAAAAATTCAGAAAGCTATTGATGATTTAAAACAGTGTTTTTCAACCTGTGGGTCGCGCCCCCCAGAGGGGTCGCGGGTAAAAAAAGACAAGTGTTTGTAGGTCCTACACTACAATAAAAAACCTACAATTTCGTTGAGAAGGCTGGGCCTGTTTATTTTACAGTACAATTGGATTTTTGATTGATATTTAGCTCTCAACAGAAAGAGAATTAAATACGTAGTTTTTAAAATCACTGATATAGTTTTAATATGGCCCTGGGGGTCGCCAAAATTTTTTAACTTGTAAAGGGGTCCCGTATTCAAGAAGGTTGAAAAACACTGATTTAAAATATACAGTATTTCTTTAACCGCTGATATTTAGACAGCAACTACAAATAATTTTCCTTTTTAAAATGTAATAATCTCACTGGTTGAAGGATAATTTTCAGCAAGAGCTGTTTTGTGAATTGTTCCCTTTGAAGGTTCTCATACAGCTACACTTATCAGCGAACAGATAAAGATAGTTCTTGAACGATATAAGTTGACAAAAGTCATAGGATATTCTTAGTACTGAGAGATTCCGGAGCAAATATGGTAGCTGGAATCAGGAATTGCAACTTAGAAGTATTATCATGTTTTACACATACACTGCAGCTGACACTAAACGAATGCATATTTTCTCAACAAGATCTGAAAACTATTAACTACTTGTTATAAAAATAATTTTATAAACGAATGCATATTTTCTCAACAAGATCTGAAAACTATAATCACAGTTAATAGAAATATTGTTACACATTTTAACCATTCTTCTGTAGCTATAAGCAAATTGGAAGATTTGCAAGACAAGTTAGGTTTGCAGAAACACAAATTAATTCAAGATGCTCCTACTCACTAGAATTCTACTTACTGCATGTTGCAAAGAAACTTTGAACAGCAAAAAGCCCTTGTGCATATATGCTATAGATAATAAAATTTCCACGTTGAGCACATATCAGTGGTCTCTCGTATTATCAAAAGTAGAGCAGTAGTTTCTTTAATGGCATTAATTCCACTATAGAAGGACTAGAAAATTCAATATAAAAAGATTTTCAGCATATATAGAAAACAAGTCTCTATGGTTGTCATCCTTATTAGATCCAAGATTCAAAATTAAAGTTTAAAAAAAAATGATAGAGAAAATAAGAAGATGGACAATCGATAGCTTAGATAATGTTGATAATTCAAAATCTCAAGAAGAATTAAATTCTGAAGCTTCTGCTTCTGGAGACAATCAAGATGGAGGATAATCTCTGAGTTTTTCTAATTTATTTGATGAATTAACTTCTGGTGAACGAAAGAATGAATAAAAGCATGTTTTTAAAAAGGAAGAAAAAACAAAACAAATGAACAAATGTTTCAATGAAGAATTAGAATAATATTTACATTTACCTTTTATACAAAGATAGCGACCCATTTTTGTGGTGGAAAGTTCAAAAGAATTTTTTTCTAATTTAAGCAAAATAGCTATGAAATATCTAAGTCCCTCAGCATCTTCCATTGAAAGTGAAAGAATTTTCAGAGTTGGAGGTAACATTTAAGAGCTTTGAAAATGGTGAAATTCTCATGTTTTTGTATTNAGGATCAAAAAAGTAGCCTAAAAAGGAAGGTCAGTCGCCGAAAATGTTTTAGTCTTGGAACACAAGTAATAAATGGTGATCCTTTTTGGACAGTTTTGTCTTTTATTTTATTAAAAATAATTCTCCATCGGACGAACTTTTACAGATGATAAAGGATCGTTAATTTGGCACCTGATAATCCAAAATGTCCAGTAATCTAGCACTAGGAAAAGTAGCAAATGATCTGATGATAATTCTACATGCTAGTTTTCCATGATTCGAAATTTGTTTGTACATATGGTGGATTAAAAACAGTCCTAGGCAGAAATTGAAGTGAAGGGAAGGTGTACAGCCTATATTGGAAGATTAATTCCATGTTTGAATTTCATGGTTGATGTTAAAAGTATTTGCTTAGCTATTGTGTATGAAATTATTAAAGTGCATTAAAGTCTATTATTAATTTTATAGGTATATGGTCAAATATGGGATCTAGAGCAATACAATTAAGAAAACTACTCATTTTGTTATAGCATCTTATTTACGTTGAGTTGAAAGCTTTTGCAGGGCTTTCCTATGCCTAATACATGTTTACGCCACAACTGCCAAATAAGTTGGTGCAAACATCTTTCAGGACTGGACTTGAAAGAATCATCTGATGTTTGCAGGTTTCAACAAGAGTTTGATTCTCAGTATCTGTTTGGTAGTGTCTATAAAAGGAGGTTTCCACTATAGCAACATGAGTTACTTGGAAGTTGTTTTTCAGCCATCATTTAGTCAACAGTCAGTAAGCAGAATCAAAGGTTGATCTGGTCTTCTAAGAAATACAACTTCTCTCCAAACCAAAGTTGCAGCATTACTAGCCACCAATATCAATTATTTTATGCAGGTTTTTCAATCAACCTTAACACAGTATAATCATGTACTGTATCATTTTTAGACCAATAAACAGCACATGTAAGAAAATCTGAAGAATACAGTAGCATGTGCTGATACAAAGTACAGTGGTACCTTGACTTAACAGTGTCCCAACTTATGACTTTTTCGAGATAAGAACCGTCTCTCGGCCGATTTTTTGCTCTGGGTTGAGAGCTAAAATTTGGGTTATGAGCCATCTTCAGATGCTCCACCACTAGTTGGCAAAGCAAACCATAGATTAATTAAAAGAAGATGGAAACTGCCATAATTTTATCATTTTTGTTACTCTTCCAATGTCTGACATGCTAGATTATAGAAAATCATGTAATTGAGTGATGTAGGCATAAGTTCACTCCTATGTGTGTGGCTCTCATCTCTTATTTTCCATCTTTTTTTTTCTTTATGTACACAGCAACATCCACAAAACCAGTTTATTGCAGTACATTCTATTGTGTTTTTATACAATATTCATTATTTATAAGTATATTTTTCTTATTTTAAAACATTAACAAAAAATTGCAGTGTTTAGGGGTCAGGAACAGATTAATAGCATTTCAATGGGAAAAATTGATTTGACATACGAGTAATTTGAATTATGAGTTCTGTCACGGAATGAATTAAACTCATAAGTCAATGCACCACTGTATACAGCAATATCTGCAACTGCATATTAATTATCAAATTTTGCAAAAATACAAAAATATCTTGTAATCTAACACTGCTCTAGTACCATAAATGCATTAATGAAATTCTACTCTATTAATTACATAATTGATAAGTGAAATTTAAAAAAGTGTAAATTTTTTATATGCACTTAACACCAAATTATACACTAGTACAAACAAATGAGTGTGTCTTTCAGTGTTAAACTTGGAAAATATTATTTATTTAAAACTAAATACTAGTATTTTTGACAAAGTATATTCAACATCTTCAGAGAGAAGATTCTAAATAGAACACAAAATAGTTTCCATGTTCTAATGGAACATATCCACATCTTTACATTGTGTAAAATTTAATGCATTTAACTGTATTGTAAAATGTATCTTCTTGTTTGGGAGATGAAGTTTCAATACATTCCACTTACACTTACAAGTTAGTATTTCTGAGCTTGCCAGTGCATTCTTGCTGGTTCCAAAACCATTGGTACCCTTGTTTCAATACCCTGAATATAGATTAATGTTGTCATAGTCAAGTTCCTCAGTTTTAGTTTTAATACTAGAACAGCATTTGGATGTATACACATGCATAGTTTGTTTTCACTGAAACCATACTGGTATGGACTTGAAAGCTCAAAGTACAGGCATTAGTGGAATTTTTTCAAATTTCATCTCCAAACAAGTAGAGAACTGTAGTACATAATAAAATTGTTGTAGAAATAACCACTACATATAAAACAAATATCCAGCAAAAAAAAAAAAAAAACACTACATAAAAGCAAATATTTAGCAAAATACAAAACATTACATAAAAGCATTTGCTTTTACCTAACGTTTTGTATTATTATTATTTTTAATGGCTATTAGTTTTGTGTATAGTACTTATTTACATATACCCAGTTTTAGTTGAGTTTATAGTTTTAGAAATAAAATTAGATTAAAATCCTGACATCTTCAATTTAGAATTTTTGAATCTCAGGATTCAGGACTTTAAATCAGGAAATGATAATCACCATTCTATAGTTTTACCATACTTACTTTTTCATAATATTCTGGCATTAATAATTTCATAAATTACAACAAATAGTATCTTTTAAAACATTAAGTCATCATAAAAAAAAATAACTTTACAATTTTATTTGACTTTTCTGACATATCATCTTGATAGTGCGGCCATAATATCTTATTAGATTGAAATTTGCTGGAGTCGTAGCTAATACTGTATAGGCTGCCTAAAACAACAATAAATTTATTAATTTTAACACTTTTTATTATATAAGTTAACTACTAAAATCAATAATTGCCAGAAATAAATACTAATTTATTTTAAAACATATATATCATTAAACTATGATATTTCATTTTTAACTAAAACAAAAATAAAATGTTTTTTTTTTTAATTCACCTGATAAAGAAAATTAACTCTTTGGTAAATATCTTTTCCTTTTCCTTTACCCATTTTGACAGATGCGAATCACGTGGTCCAATTATTTATATAGATTATCGCATAAACGGTTGCTTAAATAGAACACGGAGATCCAGTCTTAATTATTTCTCTTTTTACTGTTCGTACGAAGGTTTTAGCCTCTTAACTTCTTATTTTGATACAAAACAAACGTCATCTTTACCTCAACCTTTCAAACACACGCGATCACATTTTACTCTAAAACCACATCTTCTTTCTTCTTTCTTTCTCTCTCTTCTCTAAAACCACATGTCTCTACGTAAAATATTTATAGCTCCGTCTATCGGATGGAAACATTTCTAGCAAAATTATTGATTTATTCTAAATAGACTATTAACCATTCAAAAGAGAATTTTAATAATAATTGTTATAATTTTTATATTTATTTTATAAATAAATAAATATTAACATGATATTTAATTAATTACAACGAAAATACTAAATACGAAAATAAATGTCCAAGTTAAAATTTAAACTAAAAATGGCGGTTCCTACGATTGTACGGATAAAGTTAGATTTGAAAGAAGTTTCGCACGCCGTTTCAAACACTTTAATTTGGATTGCCGTGGATACAAATATCCTCAGAACTATTCAAGATTTAAAAGATTTAGTTGCGAAAAGGTTTAACATAAAAGAATTTAATTTATTTTTTAAAGATTGTCTTCTGCCAGACGACGAGACGATATCTATCGTTAGAGACGAGGATCTTATTAAGTAAGGGAATTAATTGTTTTATACGATTTTAGCGTATGTTAATATATAAGGATACAAAATTAAATTTTTGTATAAGTTGCAGTTTATTCCGGCAATCATTTTTAATTTATCTAAAGCTTTCGGCTATCTGTGTAGCCATTCTCAGAATCCAGGCTTATAAATAATTACCTATCTCTCCCTCAAATACCCATACCACAGACATAAGGGACACCATTAGAGTTGAGCAGAATCAAAAGCATCGCAGCTATGCACGGGTATAGCCACCTGAGGTTGGTTATTTAATTAACATGTACAATAACACCGGATCTCGCAAGAAACCTAAACACCTTCCGTCCTTAATCGCCCCCGTGACGTGTAATAAATTATTGGATAATGCCTATAGAAAAACCATTAGATTGAGCGGCAGAAGTATCGCGTGTAAGCGCAGCGTAACTTTACGGCCGGTTACGTAATGTCGGAGACCCGGTATGTTCGGACGCGGCCCCGGGGTGTACGAGATACCGGTTAATCTAGGTCCGAAAAACAAAACGAGCGAGTACGTGGGATGCGCGTCCGGATACTCCCTACGAAACTTAAAGAGCAACTGTGCGACGTACGTAAAGGCACGACCACGAAGGACTAATTCTGTCAAATTATTAAAGTTTTGAAATTGAAGATCCTTTTCTTGCATTTCATTAAATATTTTGACCGAATTGTCAGCTAAATTAATGTTTTCTTTTTTTAATTTCTTCAAGTATTTAGTTGTTATAAAACCACTGGTGGTTGGTTTCGGATTTGTGCCTCGCCAACAGGATGACTATGTGGAGTTTTCTAGGTTTTCTTCGTGTGTCTGTATCTAAATAGGGGCCAGTTTCCCATCAAAAGTAGTCTAGCCCAGAAGAGGTCGCATGACCCATTCTGACCCTCACCCCCTATTTTATGATTTGCCGAATCGTTAATAATTGTGCATTTTTGATGTGACTCGCAGTAGCTTCCTAAATTCTTTGTTATTATCTGAATGTATAACCATTTTTCGACTTCACAAAACGTATTACGAAAAAATGGGCCTTGTGGGTCGTGGTGACCCACAGCGACCTTTAACGTTTGTTGTAATTTAATATGTTTAATTAATGTAAGTATAATTTATTTTAAAATCGTGAAGTGACATACCTATTATATAATAAAAATAATGATATAATCATTATTAATTGTTTAAAATTTTTTAAATAGTTAAATTTTAAAGAAATTTTTAAGTATCTAAAGGGTTATAAAATTTTAACCATTATAAATTTAAATGTTAATAAATAATTAACTATGTATTAGAAAGTAAACAAATACATTTATTAAATTACGAAACAGAATGAGAAATAATAGTTAAAAGAAAAAAGTGCAAAAGATTAGATAGTTAAAATGTAATTTGATATCTAAAATGCGGGTCAAGGAGACCCACAGCGACCCCAATAGGTTGTTGACCTTTGCGACCTGACCCAGGCTAGGGAAGCATTTCCTTGGCAGATCACCTGTGTTGCATTGCTCAAGCTATTCAAACCAACCATTTGCTAACAAATCACGAGTTCAGAATACAATATTCAAATGTTTAATGTAATTATTTTAATATCATTTTATACATTAAGTTTAATTTTTACTGTATTAATGTGTTATTTAATAATAAAGCTTATCTCTTAAACAATTTATTTATGATTTAGAATCCAATTGAATAATTCATCAAGTTGTATTTTGGAAAACAACAAGACAGAAAATTGTTTTGTGTCTGTTGACTGTAAAAATATAAGTAAAACTGTTAGAAAAAGAAAAATATCTGATTTGAGTGATGACAGCGACAAATTACAATCAAAAACTGATGTAAAGAATAACGAAGATAATATTGAAACCTTTCGTGACAAATCTGTTACATGTAAGAAAAAAAAGAAGAGAAAGAAAGAGAAGTATGAAAATAAGTACGATGAAACTGTTGTTACACCTGAATGTGAAATTAATGTAAATGGCATTTCTTCATTATTTAGTGAGGGAGACAAACAAGAAGAGTTAATATTAAAGTCAAAAGAATTAGAATTGGTGTCAGATAAATGTAAAACTAATGATGATGAAGAATTTGATAAAGAAGCAACTTTGCAAATTGTACACAATACTTTTGAAGAATGTAACCAATCTTCTGCGTGTGATGATACAAGGATTAGTAAGGTTTCAAAGAAAAGACGAAGGTATAGAAAGAAGAAGAAAGATAATTTTTTAGATAATTCTATGCAAAATACGACAGATGAATCGAACAAAATTTCAAAAATTGATGAACAACCTCTAATAGTTAAAGTTTTAAATGTTTATAAAAATAAACACACTAGATTTGATGAAAATGAGGGAAAAAATGATAATTTTACAAATGCATTGCTACACGAAGAAAAAATGAAAAAATTTACTGAAAAAATTCAAGATTCTGTTTCCTTTGAAGAAGAAGTTTTGCAAATCATGCACAATACTCCATTAAATGAACAAAGGAACAAGAAAAGTTCTCAGTCAAAATCATTATCACAAAATCATTCAAGTTTTCAAAATTCTTCAAATACAGAAAACAATTTCAATGAAAAGAAATCTAATTTATTTGCACAACTTAAAAACAAAGAAAAACAACTTGAAATAAGTGCATCGTCATCATTCACAGTAAGTAATAATTAAATTCATTAATATCACATTAATGATATTTGCAATTTATTTTTATTTAATTTTTAAGATGATAGAAATGATACTTAACATCAACATAAAAAATAAAACATAGCTGCAAACATTGTCAAATGTCAAAAAGTAACTGTAATGTTCAAGAAAATAAACAAATAAAAAGTAGACAAAATTTAGTTGAAGGGAAGAACTTCTGATAAATTAAGTTTATCTTCTTTGGATAATTGAACAGAGCAATATAATTACAGTATTATCCTAGTTATTAGAACAAGTTTTCTTTTATAAATATTTTGTAATTAAGTTATTTAGTCAAATGATTATGATATAGTATTTAATGACAATCCTTGATGTTTAAATCAAAGTACATTCATAAAGCTTCTTATTAGTGATGTGTGATTAGTGTTTTTATTAATCAATTTATTTCTGGAATCTTTCCATTCATTAAACCCATATGTATTGTTACTTTTTGAAGGTGTTTACAGTGTTATTGTTTATTAAGAAATACTTTTTAAATGCTTAATTTGCTGGTATAATTATTATGGAAACAGATTTATGCTATTCTTATTTTTGGCTAATAAAACCAACTAGAGACTATTAACAATTTTGTTGTGTCTCTTTTGTTATATCTGTCTTTCAAAAAACAAAGGCAACATAATCAACTCTTAAAAATATCTTTTATTGCAATGCATTTTGGATGGTAAACCACATCCCTCTTCAGACAACTGTTTTGTCACAAATTGTTAATAGCCTCTAGTTGGTTTTATTAGCCAAAATAAGCTTCATTTGATGCCAACAGCTTAGATCTTCAAATACAGGTTGCACTAATGTTACAAATGCAAATTTTAAAAGTTTAGGAGAAGATTAAGAAAATGTAAAACAATTCACCACAGAAATCAAGATTAACAATAAGTAAAGCCGTAATTAAATATAAAAAACTTCATTTAAATACCATACAATAATACGACAAGTTCAGTTTTAAAGAAAAATAGTTACAGTAACAATTTTTCTTGTTTAAACTAATAATTTATGTTTGGCCTACATTTACATGTTTGTTATATTTTAAGCTTAACATAATTAGTATTTTTCATAGAAGCAATCTTTTTTTAATTTAATGTTAAGAATGAAGATGAACAACAAAATTTAAATGAAGTAATTACAACAGAAGAGAAAGATTATCAAAAATATCCAATTTTGAGAGGACCTCCCAGGGTTGGTGACATTGTTGCATTCAAGGTAAAAAATACAGTATATAATATGTAATTGTAATTTTTATATTATTTTATTAAAAATGTTTGTAGTATATATATATATATAAAACAACTTATAATCCAATTTTAATTGATGAAGACAAACAGTCTTGCTGAAATTATTGGGCTACTTTTGGCTCAGTCATTCCCAGTCAGCATTGTAAGTAACTAGTATGGTTGTGTCTAAATTAATAGTTCTGGAAGCAAAGATCAGATGGAGGTCCAGGTAGTGTAAGTGGAAATGCATTGCACCATAGGCAGGAGTTGCAGGTTTGAGTCCCACTCTGGGCCGACTGTTTTGTTTCAAACTTTTTAAAATTAAATTAATTTATTATAATTATTAAAATTAATGAGATGGCAGCTTAACCACCTACCTCTAGCTGAATTAATTATTAACGTAGCCCAAAAGTAGCCTGATAATTTTGGCAAAACCATTTGGCTTAATCATTCTCAGAATATTCAAATATTTTGAATATTTACTTGAATTTATTAATAAATTTTACTTGTGTAATTTTTACATCTGACACTAATTTAAAAAGATAATATTTTTTAAATGTAAAATTATTTTACATTGTTTATGAAAAATTAATAATTATGATTATCATTTGGTTTAAAACTACAATATTTAGAAACTATATTCTTCATATATATTTTTATGCTTTATTACTTATATAATGTTAGGAATATAATCTCACTCTGTACATAAATGTAAACAATATATTTTTGACTTTATTACTAAAAGAAAGATTTTATGTATTATCAGTCTATTTATTATTCTATGGTCTTATTACATTATATACTGCTGTAATATTTTTGATAGATGTTATACATGGAAAGAGAACATTTTAATTAACTAAAGAATGGAGTAATGTGACCAGAGGGTTGGCACCTCTTTGATGCCCTGTCAGGACTGACACCACCATGTCCCGATTGACATGGAAGCCAAGACAGCATGTTGATTTGGTCACACAAGTGACTGTGTGTGCAAGCGATCGGATCCTGGATCTAAATTAGTGTTGAGAGACAGTGTACCGGAAGTAAAATACTCATATATGAAAGTTAACAACTAAATACCCATTTATTTTCAACAAAGAGGAATACATGATATGATATATCAACTTAACCTATCTACCTAGCAATTGCGAGAGAGAGTTTACAATTGTTCAAGAGTCGAGAAATACCTGTATTAAGGATGCATCGATATGCGAAATGACCGATTACCGATTAATCGGTCACGCATTATCGGCCGATACCGATTAATCGGCCGATTAGTGTTAATAATTTATTGTGTTAATAATTAATTACGGATGGCCTGATGGCCGAGCGGCCAAGGTGGCCACCCACTGCTCTGGGGGACCCAGGATCGAATTCAGACGGGTCACAGAATCCCCAGTAATTTTTCGGGGGTGGTCCGTTCGGATATGTCGGATCCCGTCCCTCACCACCCGGTCACCCCATTGTGGGCCTGGCCAAACCCATAATGGGCCTGCTATAAGAGGCCCTCTTAGTGCCCACAGGGCGGAAATAGTTAAAAAAAAAAAAAGGTGTTTGCGAAGAAATTCTAATTTT